ACCCAAAATGTCAAGCTGAGGTGGTCGCTTACAAGAGCTTAGACCATAGTGGATCAAAAATTTGGCACAGATAGCATAATTATTGTAACTACAGACTTACCCCATGTTTTAAACATTTTATTCATGAAAAAAGTCAATTTTGAGGGGAAAAATCCAATTTCCCAATGATTGAAATATTTTTGTCTTTTGTACTACCTGGGAATACGATAATGTTACAACACCTTATTATCCAATTTCCTCTCTATTATCTGTCAAGTGGTCGCTTATGGGAGGTTAAAAACAAAAAAAAGTTCAAACTTTCAGCTCTAAAAGTGGTCACAGTCGCTTACAAGAGGTTCCAAGTATAGTGAGTTGGTTTGGAAACTTTTGGTATTTTGGAAAACTGGTTGTTGAGGAGAGGTGGTCGCTTACTGTATAGGTGGTTGCAACCAGAGGTTCGACTGTATTATTGCCATTACATCCATATGTAGTAATACATGCATAGAGGGATTACTTTGTACCTGGCACAACTGCACGTAGAGTATATGCATTTATTTGTTGTGCTGTAGTTACATGCCGCTGACTTTTTCCTTCAAATACCAGGTAAAATTCTCCATTGTCTGGTAGTGGAAAATCATCTGAGTATGTAATAAATATCACCTCCCCACCCTGGAAAAGAAATGGAAAAAATGAAAAACTTAAATAACAACCAAAACTAGGGACACTCTTAGAGAGTCACACATATGTGGCACTTATAGTGTTGGCCACCATATTTTCTATGGCATGGTATAAAATAGTTCTAACGGCTTGTGTGTATACCAAGAAAATACAAGGGACTTGTGAGATATTTTATGGAACACAACTCGAAAGCGTTACATAACTTATGTATTAATCAAGAAAAGCAGTAGCTGTATAAGCAAGAGATGATGTCATTTTAGCAATATTGTCAGACAATAGTCTGTTGCTTATATTCCCAGTTGGAATATCTGAATTCCAAAAAAAAAAAATTTGCCTTAAAATCTTAAAATTGAAAATTTTGAGCTAGTCATCAAATTGTTGATTAGGTGCAGACAATACAAACAAGAGAAATTGATACAGAAGTCAAAATAATCTGGGAATACCAAGAAACTTTGGTAGTGTTTGCATTCCAATGACTGACCAAAACCACAAGAATAAGTAGCAATATGTAACTGTTGAATTGCAAATGTTTTGCATGTGATGCAGTATCGTATGTATAAGTTGTCAAACGAAAACCAACTAAACAGAGACGATGACAGGTCATACTATAACAAAATGATCCGATGGATAAAAACAAATTTCAAAATTAGGGTTCTATTTCAAAGTGTGCTGATATAACAGCCAAACAACAACAAAGAGAAAGAGGAACGTTTGTAGAGATAAGATCCGAGTTTACCAAAACAACAGGAGGTTCATGATCAGCTATATCGACACGCCAACGAACTTTATTTACAAATCCTAAGTCGTTAATCAGACCAGAGGTGTACAAATATGCAGCGGACAGCTGGATTCCAGCTCATAAAGGTTTTCATTTTATCTGGACTGGGTTCCTTGACGGAAGATTAGAAAGTTCTCTTTGGACAGATTCGATCGCGTGACATAATGGTGCGAGTGTCTTCCACACTTTGAAAATCGACAAAGTCAACTAAACATTCGAGCGATCGAATCTTGCACCTTGTGTAAACAAATATTCCGAACTTGATGTGAGATTCGAAATTAACTTACGATACATTCACTAAAATCGCGTTTTATTTAGCGATCTTTCAATCAACGGAGTAATCTGACAATACCAAGGTCAAAACCAAAACTTGGACCATTCACGTAATTAAAACGATGACCTAACATCAAGCATTGTGAGCGCAGACCTAATAAATTCCATTGAATCCAAATAGAAGATGTTGGAAGGTGCACTAGCCCCGTCTAATGCCAGCAACATGTGAAAGTAATATAGCTTCTTTCGAAGCTTTGAAGTGGTAAAACAGATAACACAAGAGATTGCACTTACACGGGTTGGCGAGCTCTGTGGAGTGAAGGCCATGCAACATGCCTCTGTTGAAAGAAAAGAATATCATAGAATGAGAAATCGGGGTTCCAAAATGTAACTTAAATGATCGAGTTGGGACCTGGAACTTTGTATACCCTGAAACCTTTCAAATGCAAATTTCGACCTTAGCCCACGAATAACATGACTAAAGCGTAACAATCTCATATGAAGAAATAATTATTGAAAAACAAAACAAAGAGATTACGTGAATGTAATCGAAACTTATGAGAGAGCAATTCAGTTATTATAAACTAGGTAAAACTAAAACCTTGAGATTTTACGTTACGGAAACCTTTCTTACGTTTGATGACTTTGTTTATTTGCTATGTGACTCGTCGACAGATTTCATCCTAATCTATTTTGGGACTTTAATCAGGCAGCTAATTTGTAGCCTTAAAGGAAGGAATTGCTTCCCCGAATCCACGTAAAATATTCTAGAAGGCGAAATAATAAAGACGACCGAGACTGGCTCGAACGCTATGAATCGTCCCTCCTGTAAAGCATTCAATTAGCAAAAATTGTCCACCGATTTCCTTAGTCATATGTTGTGACCCACATGATCGTTTCATGTTCAACAGCAATTATTTTGTTCCAGTAATCACAACTTTGAATGTAACGTAAACGTTTAACGTAAAACAACAAATATTGCAATCAAGTTTGAGCTCACAAATAACAGGACAACATGAGCGAAGCGCGTGTAAAAATGTCGTTGGATTGATCTTAACCTCCAGACTTGACCTTGCTTTCAAAATACTTTTTTCGACACCCGGAAAGATTCCAGAAAAATTATTAACCAGTTGGCGTATTAAATTGTCCGTTTATGGGTATTTTCGAAATACTAATTTGGTACAAACGTTATGTACGTTCGAGATGATCGTATTTAGTTCGCTAAGTGCTTTCAATTCAACACTTGTGGCCGGCTAGTCTGTACGTATTGTGGTCTTATTACGAGGAATAATTAAGTCGCGATAATTTCATTTTCTGAAAATCAAAGGTGAGGAAGAAGAAGCATTATGTAGTTCTGCACTGAAGCCACTTGAACTAAAAGTTCAGCCCTGCGTAACACCTCATCAGTTGGTTAATTATGTCCAACAAGTAAACTCTATGGCATACAAGCTTGCTTGGGTTTCCAAAAACATATTATAGATTTGAGTGTCAAGGAATCAGTTGTACTGCTATGTCGAAACACTATCGGGCTAGACGAAGCTCAAGAGTAAATCATAAAGCTATTATATCTTACCTGAAGCCTTGTCCGAGTCCTTAGCCTTTGTAGAGTTCATTTTAAATCGATGATGACACGACTTCCCTCAAGGACCCGTTGAATTGAAATTTAAACCTTCAGCCGACTTAGCCTCTAGCATCAAAACCACGAAAGTCTTGATACAGTAGCAGTCATGATATACGTTAGACAGCTAAAGGCATACACCGAACAACAACATAACGCTTGCTTGTCAGAAAATCAAGGCCAACGATGAACACATCGTTGCCTAGTACCACTAGTACTTCATTTTGTACCCGCCGCCATTTTCATCACGGCGGTCGCCATCCGGTAATTTCCTCATTTACAAACTGTTCGTAGCATTCCACCAGAATTTCAACGTTGAAGATGTGTAGCCTTGTCTCTTTTACGGTAAAATGATTTCACGTGGATAAAAAGTCACCAGTCTTCCAGTTGAAAACAAGCCGATCCAACTAAACAATTCACATAAGAATCCCAAACCCTCGAGCCTCCAAAACCGCTCTGGTGACGTCACGTCCTCGTTTCTCTCCCCCCATCCCAGGGGAAAGCTGTGTCAACTCAGCGCAAGCTTACCAAAAATAGTTAGCAATTTCCTGTGTGGTAACCGTTGAGTTCAGGCACCATATCATTGCTTTTATTTTTTTTTTATTTCAAACTTACTACCAAACTGATGTCTCTACCACGCCAAATGAAATATCTTGAACAAAACCGAAGGTAAGAGGCCTTAACCACTCTTAATAATTAATCTATTGAACGGAATAGTTTATGATACTGTTATCTTCTTTAAACGCCCACTTGTTCTTACCTCACCCCTCGGTGTATATATCTAATGCTTGCTAGCAGACTAAAGTAAGCTGTACACAGGAAAAAGAAAACAAAATCATTTTGGCAATCTTGACTTAAAGTGGCGGGAATAAAGAAATAAACTTTTACGTTCTATAGCGTAAAATGTTTTGAAATGCCCGAGATGGGAAACTTAAATAATCACATTTTTTGCCAAAGTTGTTTAGTTCCATATAATTCCTCAGTTGCATTTTGTGATGCCCAAGGTTAATTCGTATTTAAGTGAAATTGATAATGTTTGATATTTCTGTGATGTTATTTGTTGATGAGCCACCTAGCGGATGGGGTTTAATCGGTATTTCCGCCCCGCAGAAAGCCCAGTCTTTTCCCGTCTAGACCATTGACAAACCTAAGGTTTTGCCCTCTTTCATTTCAGTTATAATATGCTACAATACCTGTCTAGAGAGCAAAGATTAATACGCCCAATTATTCTCACTATGTTAATCCTGTCGGCATCGAATGTACTAGAGCTATTGCTAATTTCTCGTTATTTTGAAGTACTTTGCTAAAACTGAATAAAGCGAATTGTGCTAATTTAGAAGCGTAGTGATTGATTAACCATAAGAGGGCTTTAATTAGCTTTTGGCTATAAAAACATTTTTTGTTTATTTTGGTGTCTGAAATATATGATACTAGTTTTTGAGCACGCCCTCATTAACCTTTAACAGAAAAAGCTAGAGAAACTCCTTCGGCTCATTTGTCTTACAACTTTCCACATTCATAGGCGCGGAGAAGGGTTACAGGGGGGCTGTAACCCCCCCCCCC